CAATATTTGCAATATCTGAATAAATGTTTTGTATCGTCTGCTCTGTAAGCTCTAAGATGCAATGCAAAAAATATATGAATATACCCTGTTACACCCATTGAAAATGAGAAATCAGGGTGTAATGATTTTTCTTCAAATGTATGTCACAGGCAGAATGAGGTCTTGCAACCCCATCAATTACATATATTCCTAATCGGGTTGATTTAGCTCGGTCTGTATAAGAGCTAGAGTCTTGAAATTTCATTTATTAGTCGGTATATAGTGAGCGGTAACTACTCCCGTTATTTTAATATCGATTAAACACTTATCGAAAATCAGTTATAGAATTATATCTCCTACATCTTCATGGGAAATTTTAAATCTAGATTCGTAAGTTATTATGAAATAAATACCCATAGTTAGCCTAGAGTTCAGCTGATGAGTTGCATAAAATTATGGAAGTAACAGTTCAGGGGCTCTCGTAGTCAATCAGTCTCGACTAGAGCTTTTCTAATTCATTTTTAATGAAAATTATATCACGTTAGCAAGTTCCATTAAGCCAGTTGAAAATGGAGTAGGGATTTTCGCATAGCAATCTTCTACCGATATTAATGGAATTTTTCAGGAATGGCATACAATTTTACAGAGCTCTTGCATAAATGAATAAAATTTTAACTCTTTCAGTAATTCCATTTACTATTTGAATCTATTGAGATTTTAGTTTTATTTTGAGCATTTTTCTGGTTATCAGCTTTAAATTGTGCTGTGCATGCAACAAATTTGTAACAAATTCCAGGTCGTTATCATAATGTTGTTCTATTCGAAAGGGGCACACACATACACACACACATATATATATATCTATATTATTAGCATAACTTTGTTTAACTTCGTGTTGCGGGCTTTACTTTAAGTTTAACGGCATTTCTGTCCCCGCTTGGCCTGGCCTGCTCCATGGGCTCTACATTATATATATAGAGAGCAAAGCGCTCTAAGCCCAATAACTTTCATGCACACACACTTCATTGTACAGAATCTCTAACCCCTCTGCGCTCTCGCTAACTCTCGCTCTCTCTCTTTCCAGTAAGGCCAGGACTGCATTGCTGCAGGGCTGGACTCTGCAGCGACTTGACTGCAATATTTCCCATTTAAACTTTTCGCTACTGTACAATTTTCATTATTAATATGACTTTTTGGGCAGCCCGCAAACGGCAAACGGCAAACGGCGCCAAGTGGCTGCCAGGCCCGGGTCCTGGGAGATGGGAGCTGGAAGCTCGGTCCTGCGCCCAGGATTTGGCCAGCTCGTTGGCCAGTTAAACGCGCCCAGTGTATTGTCAATGTTTGTCTGTGACCAAGCGAGAATCGCAACGGGTGGTCCACAGCGAATGCCAAGGATAAAGTTTCTCGCTTGGCTCCTAACATAGCGACTTGCCCGTTTGACTTGGCAACAAGTGCAGCGGGCAAGCATACAGAGATGGAGGGAGAGAGAGAGGAGGGGGGACGGCAGAGGGAAAGCGGAGAAGAAACAGCAGTCGTGTCCAGGCGGCCTTTTTAATCAAGCCCAACTAATGGCTGCGAGCCTAGGCCCACCCAGCGAGAGACAGAGAAAGAGAGAGAGAGACCCAACCACACCAAACCCAAACCTAACCTAACCGTAACCACCGAAGCCGCTTATTACTATAAAGTGAGATTAATGAATCTCAGGGAAGACGTCGAAGCCGGCCTGCCAGCCTGCTTTGCCTTTCATATTGTATTATTATTATTTTAACTGGCAATTAATGAAATTTATTTGCCATATTGCTGCTGGTGGGCGTGGTTGAGCGCTGTGGTGCGCTCTGGTGGTGCAGCCTTTGTACGCAAATTTAAGAGCAAATTGTTTGGCTTTTATGGCCAAGCCGCAGATTGCCACAAATGATGCAATTTATGGCCAGCAATGGTCGAGCTTGGACCTGTCTAGACGGTTTTATAGACCAGATTTCAAAGGAAATCAAATTGATAAGTTTCACAAATTGTGTTAAAAAGGAAAACGTTTTTAAGCAAGACAACAGAATGTAAAATTAAATCTGAAGTAAAGATAAGAAAATGTAAATCAAGTGATTCATTGAATAGAATAGATTTCTTGGAGATGGCATAAGGAGTTGCCCATAAAATTATCGTAAAGTAGTTCTACAGGTTCTGGATCAGTTCAGCATAGATCGCTGTAGCTCAAACTTCTCGGATATATTAACAGCAAGAAGAGAAAAACCACCTAGATACATTATTTAGCCAAATTATTTATTTATTGAAGTATTTTATGCCTTTCATCATTTTCTTTTGAGGCTTCGATTAGTTCGGAAGCACTCGAAATGATTTCCTGTCTTCGTCTACTTTAAAATCCATTTATCTTATTATCTAACGTCTTCTGACCACAAAGCATTTCGCCTTTGCCTTTTCCCCATTGACATTTAAACATTTCAACAGCAACAAAGGCAACCTTAGTCGCTTCTCTCTGGCTTTTTTACCTAAAGTCTTGCTACTATTTTATGTACTTAATTAAAATTTGAAGTCAAAAGTGTTGTCTGGCAAATCAGAAGAGGTGGCAGTGTGCGGACTTCACGCACATATTGCGAAGCTGTATTTCGCTTTTATGGCAGTAATACAAAAATAATAATGCAGCACGGCTGGCGTTATAATAAATACGCCGTTTATAGATAGAGGGATAAGAAGGGCGACAGAGGGGCACTAGAGAATGTTGGGGTGGAGGGGAAAAAATAAATATAGCATGCAATAAATTCAGCAAAGCGCAAGCAATCAGCCAACAAATTGTAAACAGTAAATTTCACGCTAGACAAGAGAAAGGGCGAAGAAGGCGGTGCCCGTAGGAGGGGCTAGGTGTAAGAGCTAAGAGTGGAAGCGACTGCTCGCTTACACATTAGCACTAAATCGCAGCGACTAAACGCCGCCAGTTAGTTAAACGTTTCTCATATAAATACGCACGCACGCACACACACGCGCACAGACTTACGCCCGCAAGCTGTGCGAGGGCGGCGCCACGCCCACAAGCGAAATTTATCTGCTGCGTTGCGGCAAGCGTTACCATGCGAAAGATCCTTTGAACGCTGCAACGATATGCGGACTAATCTTTATTTCGATATTTGCATAAAGAGCATAAAAAAAAAAAAATAAAAACATAAAAATTTAAATAAACAAAAAAAAAAACAACAATGTCAAAAAATTGCCAAACGTCGTCAGTGAGTGTTGCTGGTGCGTTGGGTGGTTCTGTCTCTATACCCTGTACGTGTGTAGTGTATGGGGTAAAGAGAGCATGCCTAGCTAACTTTTTGAAGGAGATCAAATACAGAACAGGAGAAATCTTGGAATCAAACTAAAAATGTTCTTAAATATTACTTGTTAAAGAAAGAGCTCTGGGCTGATATATTTAAAAAGGATTAAACATATAATATTATCTTTTCACTAGTCTATAGGGTATTTTCTATTCGGCTCAATATTTATGTAATATGCTTATTTGTTTTAGTTACTTTTTCTGTTATTTTTTCGAGTAGTGCATAAAATAGCAAGGCAAAGGATTTACTGCAGCTGCCACGCCCACAGCGGCTGCCAGAGATATTGCTGCCGAGGCCGGAGTCACGTTATTTGCAGGTGTTGCAATCTATCCGACAACTCCGACGTCTCCAGCTGTGTGTGCGTGTGTGTGTGTGCTCACAAGGTGGCAATGGCGGCTTTGTGGTGAGTTGTAATAAGAGCAGCAGCACATACGCACACACGCACACATACACCTGTTCACACACACACGGACACTTCTCGCTGCAAGTGTTTTTGATCTCGCGCTGCTTTAGCCTGTTGGGAATTTTGATTAAAAATGCTTCCACGTGAAGCTCAAACGTGCTTGGCACCGAGTAGCCGGATCTGGAAACTCTTCACACATACACACACACTTTCACACACTTACACAGTTTCTCGCTTTCTCCCGTGCTCGCTCAGTTTGTCTGCACACATGGTTGAATGGGCGTTGGTGGGCGTGTCAGTGCGCCTTTATTGGCATTGGCGCGTTTATTTTAACGCGTTGCTGCCTGCCTGCCTGCCGACTGTGTGTATGTGTGTGTGTGAGTGTATGCGTGTGTTTGTGTGTTTGCAAATTTTTACATTGAGATTTATCACACCCAAAACTTTAACCCAACGAGCGAAAGCGAAATAAGAAAAGTGCAGTGAGGAAAACATTTGGAGTCAGGCAAGTCGACGTACAAATAACCTAACCAGAAATATTATCTAAAGAACGGTAGATGAAAGCATAATAGACAAAATAACTAAGTATAATTAATATAAATAAATTTATTATACAATTTATATATAACTAGTGATGGCACGCTGCGATTAATTGAAACCATAATCGATTATTCCAAAAAATAATCGCGAAATGAGAAACAGAATGGCTGTATCACAGCTTTCTGGATTTTAGACCTAACAAAAACTAATAACATATAATTTTGGACCATTTTAAAAAATTTGTTTACACAGCAATATTTAAACAAGTAAGAAAGCTCTAGTCCAGACTGCCCGACTACGAGATCCCCTGAACCCTTCGAGCAACTGATATTTCAATAATTATTCGCATATGCACACATACACCACTAACCAGAGGTTAGTGCATACACGCATAAACACGCAAAATAACGGGGCAAGTTATCGATATTTTAAGCAAAACTCGATATGCGCGTGCTATACACGGACCTAGCAAAAAAATTTTCAAGTTTCTAGCTCTCATATTTTCTGAGATCGACGCGTTCAAGCATACGGACAGACGGACGGACGGACAGAGCTAAATCGACTCAGCTTATCGGTTAATTCTCGTCGATTAATTGAATTCAATAATTCTGTAGATGCAATTAATTACTATTATAACCAAAATTTTTCCATGTTATATAATGTTCACAAAAATTCCAAATTTAGTTTTTGACAAATTAAAAAATTATTTAAAAAGATTTGTTAACATTTAGAATATTTGATTTTCTGCAAATATAATATAAAGTTTATATACATTAATGTTCAGCTTCCTTTCCAAATGTAGCTTACATATGCTGACTTCTCGCAGTCCTGAATAAATATTTCACTTTCAGCAGACAGTGCCAAAAGATAAACTGTTTCGCCCACAATAAGTCAACCAGAAGAAGGTAACCATTTAGCCATTTATCTGCTGCATCGGCGAGCTGCACCGCACAGCTCTTATGCCCTTTGTTTTAGTGTATAAAGATGATGTAAATATCGCAATATGCCGCAGCCGTTTGCAACGGCAACATAAAGCAATTAATTGTTAAGGCTGCTGGCGCTTGTGCAGCTGCAGGTGAGTTATACGAGATATATACATTATTCCACACACACACTCACACACAGATATATATATATTTATATATGCACACCTAGATGATGGATATACACAATGCTAAATGCGGGCCCTAGCAAAAGGCATAAAAAAGAGAAAACTTTGTGATGATATATTCGCAGCAATAAGCGTACCGAATTGCATCACATTTAAAGCAGAAGAAGATGCTAGAATAACAGATATATGTATGTATATTATGATGGATACTCGTGTGTGATTTTGTAGAACTAAAAATTTAGAAACTGAAATGTTGTCTGTTTAGGTCACATGACAAACGAGCGGCGTGTTAATCCCAACTTTCGCCATCGGCAGGCGCGGCTTGTAGTCCCCGCTAAACTACACTAATTACTTCCCCTCGTTTCGTAGGGCCGGCTCTAAAAGCCAACCGCAAAAAGCTAAAGCCACAAGCCCTACGAGGAGACGATTTGGGGCTCCATCAAGGAGCGTTACAAGCGGCCACAAATCAAATGCACACCAATTACCTGGCGCCAGGGCGCACAAAGCATAATCAACTGGCATAATTAACAGCTAAAAATGCAAAAGAGCGGCGTGTGCGAGTGTTTGTGTGGGCGCTGGAGTGTGTATCAACGAAAATATGCTTTTGCACCTAGACCGGCCCTCTGCAATTTTCACACATTTTGCGGTGCTACTGCGGGCTGAGCGAGCACCCCTACCGACATCTCTCGCCTCGGTATAAACAACAATAGCAACAAACAACAAGTCGCAAACAACCCGTAGACAGTGGTAAATTATAAGTTGCAGAGTCTCGCCATAAAGTACAGCACATTACTCATACGCCACGTGCATAAATTTCCACCTTTTACCTACCTGGCCTGATAATTATTTTCCGTTTACAAAATGGCTGCCATATCGGAAAAACAGCCGAGCAACGGCCATAATAAACAATCGCCCAAATATATAAAAATATTTGGTCAATATTTAAGTCAAATGACTTAAATAAAATTGATTAAAAAAAAAAAACCCTAGTATTTTTAGAGATTATATTAAGAGCATACAAATAAAAGTCCGTGAAATCTGGTGATATTACTTTATTATTAATTTCGGCTTCCTTTTTAAGCTTTACTTTTATATGAAAGTGCTGTAGGTATTCTGATTTCGTACATACAAATAGAAAATGAATTTTGGTTCTTGAATACGCGGATCAAAATTTTGAGGTGAGTGAACTATAGTGCTGCTAGAATCTATGGAGAGCTTTAACAAATTTGGAATATTATATTATTTGCATATTATGCGTTTTACATTTAAGTTCGAAGATCAATGCAAAAATTGGAAAATCAAATATTTCATATTTTTATCAGACCCTAAACAATTTCTAAAAAATTAAAGAAATTCGATTATAAAAATTGATTTGTGAAAACAAAGTCAAATATTTTTCTTTGGTAGAGTCCCCTGCAATTGCTCGCTTGAATCAATATTTCGACATAACTCTGGGCATTCAAATGAATTTATGGCCAATTTATAGCTCTTCCTCTGTTTATAGCCTACTCCATAACTTTTGCTTTCCAACTATAACTTGATGATAACTTTGATAAACTTTACTCGATGCACAATAAATACAAGTTGAGGTTTAATCAAATCTGAGTAGAGTTTCAAGCTCTTTTTTGCTGATTTCTGGTGCGGAGGAAATTATACAAGTTTATGGTCGCTAAATTAGTTGAGCGATAAATCCACAACTCAATCGATATACTACCTTTAGAGTACATATATATTTATGTATATATGTATATACAAATTTAACTTTCCCAGTTTGGTTACTCTCCATTTTAAGCGATTAATTTTTATGGCTTTACTGCACACTTAATTAGACGCAGGCTGCTTAAGGCTCATTAAAAATTTACCAGAGTCGGAGCCAAAAGTTATGACCCGCTACGCCGCTCTCCACTGCTTCCGCTTCCTTCTGGTTATTGATTTGCGTAGCGAGCAATACAAAAACGAAACTTTTAGCTGTTTATAATTTAGTGTAAAATTATAAATACTTTTCGGGCGCTCGGTTTAAGCAAATTAGTTCAATTGCCGGGGTAAGTAAAGGAGCAGCTGCCCCCTCTCACACTCTCGCCCATCTGTGTGCAGACTTGATTAGGCTTAGGCCAAAAAACTTTATCCTCTGCACAGTTGTAAATAAGCAAAAGTAAATTTTGGCAAGTAATTTAAGCCACACAAACAAGCTGGCAAACAAGTTCGGAGCGGGTGGCGGCAGTTGGCCCACTCACTGCCTGCATGCCTGCCAGGGGTGGAGTTGGCAAGGGGCGGCGATTTGCGAATAGGTCCTCCAGCTCTCCCCCTTTGCACGATTCCGGGTAGCTATCATGCCAGAGCATGTAAAGTTCTTTAACCAGTTTTAATTCAAAATCAATGTATGAACTTTGCTTACATTACGCCGAAACTTTGCGCCGTGCAGCTTCAATTAGGGATATATACGGATGGTTTCTCGCACTCACCTTCATATATGGTTAAAGTTGCATCTGCGGATACGGCGTCGCCCACTCCGTTCTCGGCGACACATTCGTATGGTGCATCGTCCCGTCCCGCTCGCACTGGCTCGATGCGCAGTATGGAAACACCGCCCGGTTGCTCCAGTACCGTGTAACGGGATTGAGTGCCTGTGTTGAGTAGCGGTTGAATGCGGAATTAGTCGATTGACTGGCTCAAGTGTTGGCTAATGCCGCTCCACTTACCTGATACTTTTTTGCCGTTTTTGCGCCACACTATGGAGGGCGGCGGATCTCCGCGTGCCGCGCAGTAGAAGCTGGCCACGCCCCCAACGCGCACGCCCTGATTCTGCGGCTTCTTGATGATCTCCGGTGGATCTGTGAAAGTGCAAAAGAACAGCAGGTGGCATTGAGTATCGATTTACTTGAGATTCAAATGAAGAGCTCGCTCAATGGGGCAAAAGAGTTGCTTGCTATTCGATGCGCTGCGTTTGCTTTAGCTCATCCATATACCGAATGATTATTATTCGGAATTGATAAGGAATTAGGAATTAAGGAAAAGTTTAGTTGCAATATAATAATAATTCCCTTGGCTAACGTCTGCTTTGATAGATGAGCGAACTCAGTTCTCATGGCTGAGTTAAACGATGAAAGATATTTCATTAAAGAAAAGTAGAAACGATGCCAGGCCCTACACATTTATATATTCTTGTATGTGAGTCATTTCTTTAACGAGGAAAACGGCAATCGTGATAAAAATGCAATACGGCTGACAATACGGAACAGCTAGTGAAAGAAATGCATTTAAATAAAACGAAGCTTTTTGCCATATCAGGGCAGATATGCTGTAATTGTTGTCCTCGCAACAGCAACTGTTGCTATATCGTTTTTTTTTTTTTTTTTTTGTGTTGTTCTTTGTTTTGTTTTTGTTTTTCGTGCTCTTTCTCTTTTTTTAAAGCCCTTTGCCTTTTGCTTTAGCAGCGAATTCGATTTATTTTTGCGTTTGTGTGTTTTGCACACAATCTTTCTTTTTTACATATTTGTCACAATATGCTGTCAATACAACGACGCATGTTGTTTGTGACAGAAAGAAGCCAAGAGACAGAGAGAGAGAGAGAGAGAGAAATAGCTGCGTACGTGCTGCACACATAGCAAAAGATACAAACAGGAACCAGGCACAGCTTGCCTCTGCCTCTGCCTCTGCGTGCGGCATTAAAAATCTGGCAAAAATCACGAAACGTTAAACAAGCAGCAATAATATTGTCATGTGCATCGTTTGTGCAGCTCCTCCCCCTGCCCCATCGTCGCAGCCCCTGCAATTGTCCTGTAAAACAGTTTGCCCAACATATCAATCCGATTTATGCATTTTACTTAACTTAAATGTTAAATTCTCTTACATAAGTATACATTTATAAATGAATCACTTTTGTATTATCTGAACTGCTGAACGGGGCTGCAGCACCCAAAAACTTACGTGTCAGATATTGTATATAGGGAAAATCCGAAAAATTTGCATCTGGAAATTTGATGTGGAGTTTAATATTAACGATTCATTTAGCGCGACGAAACGAGACGAATATCGTTTTTCGTTCATATTTAACGTGTTTATTATTGTTATTATTATTATTATTATTATTATTATCATCATTATTATTATAATCATTATTATATGTATTGACATAAATGTATTTTTTTTTTCATGTTATTAAATAGTTTTAGACCTAGGACTTAGACTTAGAAGTAGACAAAAAATGCCTAACAGATACTTAAATACATAGTTTTAGTTTGTATACATAGAAATATTTTATTTGATAAATGTGTAGTATTTTTTACAGAGCGTTTAAGTACGTATGAAGATTAATATGCATAATGCATAATGCATACAAAGTAATTTAAGAAACTTCAATCTTTCTCAATAATTATTGAAACATATTCATTGTGCCGATTGCATACTAAATTCGCAGAATTTTCCTATTTTTCAATGAGCTCAACCCAATTTTTTTAAATGACTCCAACTTAAGCAGAGCTCCAGTTAAATATAAATAAAAAATATTGAAATACAAATTCAATAAATAAATTAATAATTGCAAGAAATTCATTGAAATATTCAAAGATGTAAGTTTTATTAAAGAGATTCAGATATACAAAAGACTCTCGCCGTCTCTCTCTCTCTCTCTCTCTCTCTCTTTGTCTGGGCTCTGAGTGGGGCATTAAAACTTTTTTGGCTTTCTGTGATCAGATTTTGAAAGTCTGTTATAAGCTTGGCGACCAGGCGGGAAACGGCAACAAGCGAAAGCAAATGCCGCAGGTTGGATAAGTAAATATTTATATAAATAAAAGTATGTAGAAATAATATTTGCCGCCGAGATAGAGAAATAATAACAGACTGAGAGAAAGCGAGAGAGGGAGAAATAAAGCTAAAGTGTGTGAGTAAACTGCATTGTTGTCGTGGACACGAATCTGAGGACTTTGTATAATGTACAAGTATTGTAAATAATTTAAAGTTTGCCACAAGGCGTTCACAGCCAAAAACATGCAGACCATTTGCTTGGTAATGCGTTGCCATTGAGCCAGCTGCCAGCATTGTTGTTGCTCCTGTTGCTATTGTTGTTGTTGCTGTTCGTGTTGTTACGAATACTTGGTATCATTTGGCAAGTTTTGTGTTAAACTTTTGCCTCGACAAGTTGCCGGCCAGAGTTTTGCATGTGGAAAATACGACTACATATACTAAGCACACACGCCACACACCAACCAGAAAGCAGGAAAATTAAAAAGTAGGAGAAGAGTCTCACACTCTGTACTGTGCACTGTGCATATATATATATATATATGTGTGTGTGTGGCAAACCACAGTCGAGCAGCTGCTGGCCTGGCCAATTTCGCATGTCTACCCCAAATTTCACGAAATTCACAAAATTATTTCAAATGCGACACTTGCAAAGCTCAAAGTGTGCTCACCAAATTAACTCGATAGCAAATCAGAAGCCTGCGAAATTTCATCGAATTTTGAAAGCCAAAGAGAATGTGTTCAAGGTGCATTCACTCAATTTTAGTTAATCAAAGCGTGAATCGTGCTTGAAGGCAATGCACTATGGGTCAAAAGCCCGATTTTTTGGAAAAAAGTCTTATTTTCAAGTTGAAAAAATTTACAAAATTTTAATGCCAATCCATTAAGAATACCCTATATGTAAATGTTACATACTCAGAATTTTAACAGAGGCGCGATCTGCTAACTAAACTGCTGTTAAACAGAGCTGTTATGCATGACACGCACATTATCATTTTTATACCCTGAACCCATTTTCAATGGGAAATCAGGGTATAATGGTTTTGTTGAAATGTATGTAACAGGCAGAAGGAGGCGTGGCAGACCCCACAAAGTATATATATTCTTGATCAGGGCGACGAGCTGAGTTGATTTGGCCCTGTCCGTCTGTCTGTCCGTCTGTCCGTCTGTCCGTCTGTCCGTCTGTCCGTCCGTCCGTCTGTCCGTCTGTCCGTATGTATGAACGCGTCGATTTCAGAAGATATAAGAGCTAGAGACTTCAAATTTTTTTTTAAATGTTCGTAATTACAGCGCGCATATCAAGTTTATCATTAAAAATCGATAACTCATCCCGATCTTTTTTTATCGATAAAAAACCTTATCGAAAACCAGTTATAAAATTATATCTTCTACACCTTTATTGCTAGAGTCTCAAAATTTTTTAGGTATGCCTATATGCAATTTATACAATTTCGGTTTTTGTTAAAATTTACCCCCCACCTCTAAATTCACCCCCTCGCCCTCACTTTTGTAAAAAGCATATTTCAAATACTAGAGACTTGTGCTTTGGCAATTACATGCATATTCATGTTATAATCATAATCTAAAAGTTTCATGAAGATCGTACGTCCATAAAAAAAGTTATTAAACAATTAAGTTCTCATAGTAAGCGTACACTGCAGCCCATGCGTGTTTATGCGTGGTTGCTTGTGTGTAAGTGTGTGTGTATGTGTGTGTGTGTATGCGTTTGTGTATGTATGCGTGTGTGTGTGTATGTGTGTCTGTATGCGTGTGTGTGTATGTATGCCTGTGTGCGTGTTTCTTGTGTAAGCTGAAAGTCGCGAAAAAGTATTGAAATATCTATTGCTCCAAGGGTTCAGGGGATCTCGTAGTCGAGCAGTCTCGACTAGAGCTTTCTTACTTGTTTTGTAAAGAACTTTCTATGAATTTCAATCGCCAATTGAAATCAAAATAATGACAATTAATTTAAAATTTTTGGTGGAAAATACGGAATTGGGCTTGTTCTTTATGTTTACGTGTTTGTGTTGTCCAAAATCTGTATGTGATGTGAAGTTTTATGTATGTCAAAAAGTTGTCTTTGACATCATTAAAAAAAAAATGTTTGTCTTTGATAAGAGAAAACTTGCGTTTGTAGCAATGAAACTACGCTCATTTTATAGAGTATTCAATTCTGAGCTAACACCTATAAGTTCAACATGCACTTTTGCGCACTTTTTGCGCAATTTCATTTTTCAGCAACTAACCTCGTCGCAGACGAAGAAGAGGAAAAAGGCATTTCCGAAAGGCAGGACTTTTAAAATTTTGAGGTTTATGGCATGCTCGCTTCAGATAATGAAGAATACGATTATTAACAATAAGAGAGATATATTTTAATGTTATTTGTGCTTAAAATCATAAAATATAACCTTTTATTCCTTGAAAAAATTTTTTGTCAACTTCTACATACAAAAACTATATGATATAGTTAACCGATTTTGATAATTTTTTTACAGGATCTTTAAAACATGAAAACACATCTAATATGTGAATTTGGTGTAAATATCTTAAAAAGCAAAAAAGTTATGACAGCTAATAATATGAAAGAGAGGCGGTACCACACCCATTTTTTCACCAAAAACGAGTGTTGCGAACGAAAGTCAAATGCAAAAAAAACAAATTTAATTATCTTGACTAGTTCAAAAGTTATTAATTAATTCCAAAAAAACGGGCTTTTGACCCATAGTGCAATGCCAAAACATCTCTTCTAAGTGATGGAAAATACAATTTATTAATCGATTATTGAATGCGGCATAAATATTGCACATCGAAGCTAAATAATCGGTAATGGTGTATCGCTTGATTAATCGTGTTATCACTATGTGTTCTAGCTGACATTTTTTTTACTTTAATTGCCATTATACACCTGCCAGACCCCTAAGACGACTTAAACGGCAGGGCTTTGCCAAAACAATGGGTATACAATAAATATTATTATTATTATTTTTCTTTTTTTTTTCTCAGTTCTCATAAATTGAGTGAGATTTAGCTCTAATTTTATGTATATATATGTGCTGTTAAAGTACTATATCTGATTGTACAGTTTCTACACTTAATAAACCAAATAAAAAAAAGAAAAAAAAAAAAATTGCCATAATAAGTTGAATATATCGGATATCTGCGAGGCAAAACACATGCGACTTAAATATTTATAATTTGAGCATATATTTGACGAATTCTGTATTGTTTTCCTACTTTATTAGCATATCATATCACATGTTATTGAATAGTAGTCAGTATTTTGATTTTTCATATCCCACTTACAGTTCACTTGAATTTAAATTTCAATTCGTCTGATTAACATTTCCAGCAACAATTTTCAGTGCAACTAAATTTCCTATTGCTCATTATAAAACGCCCAATGGAGTGTTCTCGCGCCGTCTCTCTCACTCTCACACGCTGTCTCTTGCTCTCCCTCTCGTTCCCTTTATGTGTGTCGTCGCCCCATTCTCTTAGACCGCGAAGCGTTGCTGGATTTGCGAAGCACTTGAAAGCATTTTACGCTTACGTTAACAGTTTTTATAGCCCGAGCAGCAATAAGCATATTGGTTTGTGGCTGTAATGAGCTACAGCATCCGCAGCCGAGCTTTGCTCGCTCACTCCTCCCACTTACTTCTCTCTCCACCCACTAAATCAATGCTCAAGATGGCAAAGCAAATTTACAGCGATTTTTTCTTCGCTTACATATATATATATATATATATATATATATATCTTCTTCTTTTTTGCAGCGACGCCTTCGCAGCGCGCATTTGTAAAGTTTTATGTTTGCTTAAACAATTTGATTGCGTGCCAAGAGTGGGAAAGGAAGGGCGAGATGTGCAGACAGAGAAGGCGATAGAGTATCTTCCGTGACGAGTCATAAAAATCGTATCATTATAGCCATAAAACTGGGATTTCGGTTTATTTGCGGTTTTTGCGAACATTTTTGCTTGTTGCTTGGCTTCGACTAAAAATTTAAATAAATTTCATTATATTTGCTTCGGGGGATGGGGCGTGGAGGCTATGGACCTGTTACAAAGATTAAAGGCATACATAATGAAATTTGCAGATGTCATAGAAGATACCACACAGTGCGAGATCCCGCAGAATTGGATTGGTTTGTGTACGCATTGCGGGTTTTTCAGTTTAAACTACAGCCAAGTCTGCAGCACAGCCCCAACCCCGCAGCCCACACCATTCCCCCTCCATCA